TGGATAGCCCAGCGGTATTTGCACCTCTTTTTGCTGCGAGCTGACCAACTTTTTAAAACAAGATTGACTGAAAAAAGGCGACTTTATTTTACTCCTATTTTCAAATTTTACCTATCATATATTTTCGCCAGAAAGTGTTCAGGCTTTTTAGCTTCTTTTTCCACGGTCATTTTCGTACCTCTGTCAGCTAAAAATATTTACTAATTAGCCCCTTGTCGGAAAGCTTCACGATGACGTAATCCCTGCCTCATGAAAATGTACCGACAACCCTGTGTTCGAGGATTGCCTTGTGCGAGAGATCACCGCTTGCGCTTTGCGACTGGAGCTTAACTTTGTCCCAGGCGAGTCCTTTCTTCCCGCGAGCGATAACACCAGGGCCATACAGCGCAACAGGCCTATGGAAGTGGGTTCCTGACTCAGGAATGTGAAGGCGAGAGTTGTCCAGAAGACGCAGGTCCATGCGGACAGTCGGTGAGTTCCTGGGATAAAAAATAGGCTTCCAGTCCCATTGCGGGAAGTCCTGCCACGGAGGCAGCAATGAGACGTTATTCGAATGAAGCTTTGCGCACGGCGATTCGGGATCGTGTTTCTGTCTCCATATGATTGAGAAGCATGGCCCAAGCCAGCTCCGGCTACATCCCTTCGTTGTAGGTTGGTAGCGGTTCTGCGTAAAGGATCCCCTTCCTTCACTCATTTTCCTCGGTCCACATTATGGACGCTATGGAGCCCGACTTGCGTACTCAGTCCTATAGCCCCGATGATATTCAGGATGGAATACGTTCGGAGCATTCTTCTGAGAAGCAACCCATGACTCCCGGTGTGCCCAAGGCTGAGATAACTCTCGCTCCAATCGATCACGGGCTCTCTGCATGGGCAACTGTGAGTGGCATATGTGCCCATTCTCGTATAATTCACTAACCGGAAACACAGGTGGTTTAATCTAGTATCCTTGGCTTCTTCGTATGGGGATTCCCAAAATCTTCGGGTGCACTCCTCGCAGCGTACTTGCAGGAGCCACTCTACAGTTCACAGAAGCACGCAATGTCCACCCTGCCGCTGATTGGCACCCTCTCCACAGGTATTTTGTATTGCTCAGGTATCACCTCCCCTTGTACAAGTTTCCCCGGGTCGACTGATCGCCGCCTGCAGGAATTGTTATTTATCCGCCAATGTATTATTACCCGCGCCTTCGCAAGCCGTACCTGTTGTCTGGGGTTTTTATTTGTTTTCCTAGCTTGCTCGGGGCAAGCTTTACCACGAACGTATGCGTGTTTCTGCGGTGCTGGCAGACACGCGTGCTGAGACTCACAGTTCAGGTGACCCTGTTGATCGTCCTGCAAGGAGTGATCTATTCAATCGGCGCCTGAGTTATAAGCCCGTGACTTGCAACTTCGGCGTTCGCCAACCTCCAGCGGTAACCACCGGTGTTCGCCGGTGGCCATTGGTGTTTGCCGGCGGTCCTTGCCATATACGGGTGCGTCGCCGTGAGCGCTTGTGAACACCACCGTTCGTTGTCCACTGGAACCCATCGGAATACAGCAGCAACTGGTGAATATTGCTGTGTATCAGTGGCAAGTAGTGGGGTATGTTGGGGTATACCAGTGTTCAGCATGCCACGCTGGCTGCCACTGGCATTTGGTCTGGTCGATTCACATGGCAGGTGGCAGACACCACCAAACACTGGTGACATCCACTGGCAGGCAGTGGCCACTATCCATCAGCATATGCTGTTTATTGTTAGTATATGTCATTGAATAATAATTTTTTGCATTTCTCACTGGTCTTTGGGCAGAAGTGTGTGACATTGGGCCATGGTGTGTGACTTGCTTTCCAGGTTGGGCTAACTCTCATGAACAAATTGTTTTAAGACTAGTATCTGGCAGGTTTGGTCTCATGCTTTGTGCATAGATGGCTTATATTACACATATTCTCACTCAGAGAATATACATTTACCTGAGAATCACAACAACAAGGTTCATAGCTGTTGAAATATTAATGTGACTGCTGGCAGCCTGCCCTCACTGCCTGATAGCTCATTCCTGAGCTTATAGAAAGTTTATAAAAAATCTCAGGAGCCTCTAACCAGGTCTGTGTAGTATAATATGCTTCAAAGAA